CACCAATATACTTCTGCTCACAGTAACCGAATTTGATATTATAGACTCCCGAGTAATCTGGTTTACCAACCTTCTCGCTGCATCTGCAGGCTGATGAAAAGTGTTATTTTTTTCTTTGTTAACATCTTGAAGTTCCATTGCTTCACTTTTAAAAGCAAAGTCAAACAACTTCAATGCTACTTTAAATTTATCGAAACCCAATTACTTTTTGTTTTAGAACAAATGATACATTAAAATTAGATCAAAGACTAAATTATCGCAGAATTTCTTAATAAATATTTTTCACTCAATCCGAAGTAATGTAATAACTTGTATCTTGAACCGTAATTTCCTCATTGTAGATCTCATTAAGAATGTTGAAAATAATCGCCACCTAAGATTTAAATTAAGCTAGATAATCTTCTCTATCCATATGATACCAGCTAATATAAAGAATATTTATTCATTTGGTCATTTAGGCATTGTCTCTATCTAGGCCAGTTTAAAAATCTAATTGGTCCTAATCTATTTATTCTGGTTTCATTCAAATTTGCCAATCATTACTACTAAAATCTATAGTTCATTTATGATCTTTGTTGATTAAATATGCCGTTTATCCTGACCCAACTCTGAATATTATAAGATAGATAAGATGATAAAGCTTTATGAGCCATGATTTTAATAAATTTCATACTTGATTGTTTCTCAGATAGCTTAATCTTAGCCTTATCGATTTTCGGTAAATTCCTTTTTTAAAGATCTGTTTATCTTGCGGACTTTCATTGGGTCTTATATTTGGGCCTAAGATGATAGCCGTTTGGCACGATCCCTCAGCTAGGGCATGTATTCACGAAGCGCACAAATTCAACCTGCGGGACTTCGGGCATCATCGAAGTCTTTTAGAGGATTCAAATGAGATTGGATTCACGAATGGAAGCTACAAAGAAGAAGACGAAAAGTACAAACGGCTTTTGCTTGAAAATGAACAACTGAAGCTACGAATTGAGGAGGTAAGTTATTTCTACAATTTTCAGACATTTGATTACATGTTAACGTAAAATCTTAAACTTTGACCTGAATATAGGATATTTCTTGTTCTTTAAATTAACAAATTTATTCTGATGGATTGTTATCAGCTGAGTCGGACCATCCGTTCAATAGTTCTTTGAAAACTCCATGACTTAGATATGTGCCTTTAATACCATACCTAAACGTGACAGTTTGATAAAAAATTTTTGAGTCAAGTTAACCAGATTATTAAAAAAAACATTTAGACTTCCTCATAAGACCTAAATTCACTGCATTCTACTATTTATCTTAGCGTTAATAAAGAACTAAGTAAATCCAAAACGCTAATTCCGATCTGTCAAAGTGCAATTAATTTCGGCTCCAAATTGGATAAACATTACCTTCCATTGGGAATATTAAGAAAGATCTTAATGTTGCAAAGAATGAAAAAAATTCAGTTTTCATACTACTTTATCTTTATGTATCCTCCTAAAACAAACTCAACGCATAGAAGTTGTTTGACCTTGTTTTCGCAACTCGGTCATATTGGTAGGAAGACTAATTGGAACGCACCTA